CCGTCAGCTATTAAAAACAAGCCTAGAGCACCATCATCTGTTAAAAACTAGCCTTCAGCACCAACCGCTGTTAAAAAACTAGCCTAGAGTGTTGTCAGCTACCAAAAACTAGCCTAGAGCATGGTTAGCTGTTAAAAAGTCTGGAGTGTGGTTTGTTGTTAAAAACTAGAATAGAGCGCCACCTGCCGTTAAAAAACGATTCTGTAGAGTGCTGTCAGGTGTATAAAATTAGCCTAGAGTGCTTTCTGCTGGTAAAAAGTAGCCTAGAGCATTAACTACTGCTAAAAACTAGCCCTATTAAAAACCAAGTTTATTTTTGAAGAAGTATTGCATTTTGAAAACCTTTAAAAATTGATTTAGAATCAATTTCTCAAACTATTTTTTGTTTTTGTTTTCAATTTCTCAAACTATTTTACTCTAGCTCTAACCCCAGTCTTCTCAGACAAAGCAAAGTAAGTTTTGTTTCAAATTGGCCTTGATTGGCTGACCAAGGTCAACCTCTGCTTTGACCTTCAAACTGTTTAGCTGTATGAATGGAGTTTAATTTGAAATGTTTGATTTCGACAATTACAACACAATTATTATTGTTCATATCACTGTGTTAAAAGTGCTGAAACAAATAGCTGAAATATAGTGTTGGGTGTTTGACCAATCACAACAGACTGGCCAATCATCTGACCAATCAGAGTAGAGCAGACTCTTGGACGTGAGAGATTTATAAAGCCTAACTATTTCAGACACTCAAAGAATAGAGCTGAAGCTGCAGTGGATATTATGAGAAAATTAAAGTGTCTTTGACCTTGGATCAATGTAAACCTATTGTAGAAGACCTCCAAAACAAAATGAGAATCCTTTAAAATAGCATATTAGGGGAACTTTAATGTATTGTAAAAGTGGTCCAAATTACTCGCAAAAGCCATATAAATTTTTATTTACCAGGGCAATGTTGATGCCCTAGATCTCCTTGGTAAATTCTTGGATTGAACTGAATTGATTATTTTCTATTTAAACAGGGTCTTTTTTTAATGAACCAGGCTTTGGATTGAGCACGCAAATAAATTAGCAATTCAGTTTTATGTCAACTCATTGAAATTGTCAACTTGACTTAACAAACTACTACTAATATTATCATTATAATTTTATATTAGAATCTTTGATATTTTATTTAAAAATAAAGCTGAAATAAAATATAATGATTATACAAAAACTAATTAAAAATGTGCAAATTAGAAATGTTACTTTGGGTAATTGAATTAAATAAGAACTACAGTGATGAAAATATTTATTCGTATTATAATACTATTGATGTGATATCGTGTGATATTATTTGATATTATTACAACATATCCTTTAAAGCAGTGGTTCTCAAAGTGGGGGTCGGGACGCCCTGAGGGGTCGTGGGACAATGACAAGGGGTCGCTTGGTTATTTCCAAAACTCAAATAAACTTTATTAAACTATCTGAATTACCATATTTTATTCATAAGCCACAGAAGATAGTTAATCATTGCTTTAAAGAAACAACAACAAGCAAATAAAAATCAGACATCAGCCTTTCATTTTTATATTAAAATATAATTAAATTCATAAATGACTGAAATAAAAATGAAATATGAAATGAAATAAAAAATAATAAGGTAAAAGACTCATGTTTTTTGTGTCTGCAACATTTATATATTTACAGTATAATCACCTCGAAAAATGGGGCTCATGAGTCACTGACATTGTTATTTTGGGGATCGCGAGCTGAAAAGTTTGGGAACCCCTGCTATAAAGTATAAGACTCAGGGCTTCAAGGTGGCGCAGTGGGCGGCATAACCGCCTCACAGCAAGAAGGTCGCTACATCGAGCCTTGGCTGGGTCCGGAGTTTGTATGTTCTCCCTGTGTTCGAGTGGGTTTCCTCTGGGTGCTCCGGTTTCCTCCACAGTCCTAAGGCATGCGCTATAGGTGAATTGAGTAAGCTAAATTGTGCTTGGTGTATGTGTGTGAAGGATTGTGTATGGATGTTTCCCAGTAATAGGTTGCAGCTGGAAGAGCATCAACTGCATAAAACATATGCTGGATAAATTGGTGGTTCATTCCACGGTGGCAACGCCAAATTAATCAAGGGACTAAGCCGAAAAGAAAATGAATGAATGGATGTTATAGGCTCATTTTAAACTAATTCTAATAGGTTTTTTCATAATTATTATTATAATTATATGTTCACAAAGTGAGTCACATGCTCTATAAAATCTACTCACAAAATGTTAAAACAGCAGTTACAATATCATAACAATACAATAAGGTAAAATGATAAATATTGCACACCTTTAACACAGAGGTCATGCTTAAGGAGCTAAACAGAGCCAGAGTGAGCTGATCTACAGCCAGTGTTAATCCGACAGCTGGAGCAGTTCATATGTCAGAGCACAGATCAAAGGGTCTGCATAAACTGACTCCAGATCAGTGCACTGAGCAGCAGTGAATCTGAGAAAACAGATCATCCTTTATGTATGCAGTGAAAACACAGAGAGCCAAGGACCTGTGAGGAAAATCTGTCCTTCTGTTTGCATGGTGCACAGCTCGGTCACGTCTCACCAAACTACAATATCCAGACCTCTGAACTCTGTCTGAGGGCTACATTTCCCAAAACGTCCACAAAACTATTGAAGAAAATATGACCAATGACTGTGAGGTGACCTGTTCTCCTGCACACTTCACTGCTCGCAACTCATGTAGGTAATTGTGCTCAAACTTTTAAGAGAGCACTTGAATACACATATTTATTCTGGACTTCTGGTTACTGTGTGTGTTTGTATAGTTTAATTTTTTTAACTGCTCACATTTCTTTCAACTTTAAAATAAAAATGTTTTTATATAGAACTTTTGGATAAACATCTTTAGACAACACAATACCACAACTTTTGCACTAAAAATAAACCAAAAAAAAAAAAATTGCCAATTATAATTGATTGCACAATTGAAGTAAGTATATTACAAAATTTTAAGTGTCAATTAATGACATTGTATTTTTGACCAATCAAACACACTTCTGTAACACTTATGAATGCAGCAGTCAATCAGATGCGTTCATGACTGGGCAACTGGGGTGGTGGTTCCCATTTTTAAGAAAGGGGACCGGAGCTCCATCTACAGGGGGAAACACACTCCTCAACCTTCCAGTGAAAGTCTATGCCAAGGTACTGTAAAGGAGGATCCAGCCAATGGTTAAACCTATGATCCAGGAGGAACAATGCGGTTTTCATCCAGGCTGTGGTACACTGGACCAGCTCTATACCCTCAAAAGGGTGCTCGTAATAAAGAAATGGCATGTATTAGAAAAGATTGTCAAAAATGTAAAAACAAACTCTAGAGCAGGCATGTCCAAACTCGATCCTGGAGGGGCGGTGTCTTGCAAAGTTTAGTTCCAACCCCTATCAGACACACTAAACATCTAAAACATCCTTGCAGGTGTGCTGAGGCAAGTTGGAGCTAAAATCTACAGGATATCAGCCCATTGGAAACCCCTGCTCCAGAGAGTCTGTAAAAACAATGGGCTCTGTTTTAACGATCTAGGCACAAAGTCTAAAGCACATGGCACAAAAGCATTAAGGGTGTGTTTGAACACACTTTTGCTATTTTAAGGGCAGAAAAATACGCTCTATGCCCCAGTGCATAGGCTAACAGGGTTGTGCCTATTCTCTTAATAAGTTATGGGTGTGTTTTGAGCATACCGTGCAATAAACCAATCAGAGTCTCATCTTATATTCCCTTTAAAAGTCAGTTGCATCACTCCATGGCACATTTGCTATTTACATGGTGGACTTTGTAAGTGGAAAAACTGAAGCAAGACAACAAGTTAAACAGACCGTCTGCAGCATGAGGATAAAGAACAAGCCTCCTCCATTCAGCCTCTTTCTCTTTACTTTTACTCTTTACTCTTTCAGTTCTGTAGAGTAAGGGAACAGTGTTGTACGCACTCCACTTTAGACACCAGTTAGCCTAAATATTGAACTTTGTTTGTTAAGCACAAAGATTTGTTTCTAAACTGTTTCTAAATTCAGTTTTAATTTCCAGCAAATGAATAAATAAACAATAATAATAACTGAGTTTTATCCAAACAGACTTCTTATTGCCTCATACTGTGATGCATACATCTTCAAAACCTGACAGACAGACAAATCTAAACTTATTTTCATTAAAACAAATATAAAAATGCATAAATAATAGTGCTACTACTAATAATATAACACTAATGCAAATTGACTAAAAAAAGGACCTGGATAGGACTTTAGACCAGGTTTTAGAATATGTCAATGTCGTGGTCTATTTCAGTTCCTCAAATGATCAACACGCCAACAACACACCTTAATACACCTTCTTTTCAGACCAGCACACTCATGAGTCCACAATGTGGTGCAAATTAATTTGCGATTGAAACAACTTAGCGCAAAACATGAAAATTACCATTGCGATGGTCTGAAAATTGCAACAAATCAAGCCATACACGTCTTGCACCTTATTGCGCCAGGTGTTTGATAGAGCCAAATAACTGTAAGCACACGTATCCCAGGGCACATATTTTTTGGTTCTCAAATATGTAGCCCTGGGAATGTATTTCCAATGAAACAAGATGGTTTAAAATACAGTATATAATGATCTATTGACTGAAATAATTAGTTATGTTTTAATATTTGGAATTAAAGAAAACAGATACAGCTAATAATAAAATTCTAAAAAAATCCAAAGGGAATAAAGTCTGACATGCCTTTATAAGGATTTTTTCTCTCTTTCTACAATGGAATACACAGTGCTATAAAATGGCTTACGGACATGAAATATCCGGCCACCGGGACTCATCTTCCATTATTTCATCTTCTTCAGCTTCTATTATTATCTAAAGGAACCTGGCGTTTATGAACTATTAATGTTCAGGCTGATAAATCATGCAACGAAACAGGGAAAGTGAAGCTCTACCGTGAGGGCAGAGAGGTCGTCACATCATGACTTATACATACATGTTTTGCGAGCCGAGTCCTCCACGAATAAAGAAGAGATGTCCTCATCCACGCCGGCCTCATTGCGGGCGATGCAGGTATAAGCACCGGTGTCCTCAAAGTGGACGTTACTGATGTGAACCTCGCTCCCGTTTGCTGAAACACACAGAAATGCACAAAAAAAAAAATACATTAATAAGATTGACTTAAACAGGATTTTCATTTTGAACAATAAATCCTGAGAATTCTGCATTGGTAACATTTCATGCCATCAGTTGCAGACACTTAAAGGGACAGTTCATCCAAAAACAAAAATGTACTCATTATTTATTATCCCTCTATTTGATTTAAACCTGTTTGGTAACCTTTATTTTGATGGTCCATTTGAGTATTAGACTGTCTGCTTAATATCTGTTGATACTGCTGCTAAACAGACATTTAACTGACTATAAGAAACTTTGCAGGTATATGTCAACTTACACTAGCCCCAACCTAACAGTCTACTTATAATATCATGAGAATTAGTTGGCATGTAGATGCAATGTAAAATCAATGTAGATGCAACTTAAATTCAACAAACGGACCATCAAAATAAAGTGTGACCACCTGTTTTAGTTTCATTCTTCTGTTGAAAACACAGGAATATTTAAAAAAATGTCAAAAAATATATATAGATATATATACAGTACCTGACACAAGTCTTGTTGCCTATCCAAGTTTTAGGAACAATAAATAATAACTTGACTTGTAGTTAATAATTTGGTATCAATAGTGGCTTATATGAAAGGCAAAGGCCTCTAGATTATGCTTATTTTACTCAAATGAAATATGATCATGCCTTGATTTTCAATGTTAATTATTTTTAAAATTAATAAGGTGTATGACTCCCATGACTCCCATCTCTGCAATGACTCAAATCACTTATTAATAAAGTCATCTGGAATGGCAAAGAAAGCGTTCTTGCAGGACTCCCAGAGTTCCTCAAGATTCTTTGGATTCATCTTCAATGCCTCCTCCATCTTACCCCATACATGCTCATTAATGTTCATTTCTGGTGACTGGGCTGGCCAGTACTGAAGCACCTTGACCTTCATTGCTTTCAGGAACTTTGATGTGGAGGCTGAAGTATGAAGAGCGCTATCCTGCTGAAGAATTTGCCCTCTCCTGTGGTTTGTAATGTAATGGGCAGCACAAATGTATTGATACCTCAGGCTGTTAATGTTGCCATCCACTCTACAGATCTCTTGCACGCCCCATACTGAATGTAATCCCAAACCATGATTTTTCCTTCACCAAACTTGACTGATTTCCATAAAACTTTTGGCACCATGTGGGTTCCAGTAGGTCTTCTGCAGTGTTTGTGATAATTGGGATACAGTTCAACAGATGATTCATTGGAAAAATAAACCTTCTGCCACTTTTCCATATGATCAACAAGAAGACGACGACTTTTGTCAGGTAGTGTATATGCTAAAGCACATATTTTCTGTGTTGGACAAAACAGCTATTTGTTTTACTTTATTTTTGACTTTTAAACATCCCATATATTCCACCAAATAATCACATAACCTCTGTGCCAAGAACAATGTTTCAATTCTGACCGACTATAAATGAAAACGTAGAACATTACACAGATAATTAGCCAATAAAGCAGCCTTCGCTGAAACGCACACACACACACACACACACACACACACACACACACACACACACACACACACACACACACACACACACACACACACACACACACACACACACACACACACACACACACACACACACACACACACACACACACACACACACACACACACACACAAAAAAAAGACTGAAGTAAACTTTTCAGCTCCTGTAAATCACTCATGACAGAAAAGACTCCATTTCTGTAAGTTCTTCTAATGGGATCGTGTCTGATAACGGTGAAACATTTATAGCGTTCTCAAGTTGTCATGTTAGCTTTAGTCTGAACAGCGAAGTTCGGAGGAACGTTTGTTGATGAGAGGCCCCACAGGGGGGATTGTGGGATTGAGGAAAGATCTAGATCTAGATCATGACAAACACGTCAATCACTGCTACAGTGCAACCGGCAGGCATCTCCACTATATAAAGCTTCTGCAGATTGACAAGATCAACGTCTGCTTGGGTAAAGATGTAAGTTTTTCAGTGTGAAATCAGATGCTGTGAAGACTTTTATCCAGAACAGAGAACTGTACTGATGTTAGAGTTGGGAATCCCATTCATTCACATTTAGAACAGATTCAGTATTAGAAAATGGTTATTAATATTAGTAAATGTCTTTTTTATTGGCCATCTTTCAATTGTTTACAATGCTTATAATACACACTGTTCAATTGTCATTATTTAATAATAGAATATAAAGCATACCTTCCAACACTACCGTTTTTCCCGGGAGTGCCTCGTATTTCACACCCTCCCCCGCTTCTCAGTTTTTTGGTACAGTCCGGTTAACTTTTTAGTTCAGTCGCCATGCACACCGAACCCAACGCGCAACCATCTTCACACCCACTCCCCGCTCTTCTGTTTGCGCGCATCCCCCCCTCACTTCATTTCGCGCACGACCCCGGATAAAATCTCTCAGATTTTATGATCCGACTGTTGGCAGGATATAAAGATAAAATATAACCACATTTGATTTTTTGTTTTTAAACATAAAACATCATTCAAGTTTGGGGTTAGTGTCTTTTTAAAAGATTTTCAAATGAAAATAAAATTGTGAAAATGTATTTCTATTTAAATTAATTCCGTCTATTATGTTTTAAAATGTAATTTGTTCTTGCGAGTAAAGTTTTTTTTAAATAGATTTTTTGACATGATTTCCAATGATGAAAGTTTTCAGTTTCACAGGATCCTTAAAAAAATCCTTCAACATTCTGATTTGATGCTTGAAATTTATTGTTTTAAACAATATATATAAACATATATATATATATATATATAATTTTTTTTGTTAATACACTTAATAATATTATGAAAACTGACATATTTGTTTAGATGCAAATTCATTTGAGTCAGAATTATTAGCCCCCCTGAATTATTAGACCCCCTTTTTATTTTTTCCCCAATTTCTGTTTAACAGAGAGAATATTTTGTCAATACATTTCTAAATATAATCATTTTAATAACACATTACTAATAACTGATTCATTTTATCTTTGCTATGATGACAGTAAATAATATTTTTCTAGACACTTCTATACAGATTAAAGGTACATTTTAAGGCTTCACTAGGTTAATAAGTTTAACTAGGTGAGTTAGGGTAATTAGACAAGACATGCTTTGAAAACACTATCATCAGACATGCTGTGAAAATTGTCTTGCTCTGTTACGCATCAATTGGTAAATATTAAAAAAAAATCAAAAGGGGGCTAATAATTCTTCAACTTCAACTGTATACGTGTATAAATTATTTATTCCTTTAAAATATGTATTTTTTCTTTGTTCATTTATTTTATTTTCAGCTTAGTCCCTTTATTAATCTGGGGTCACCACAGCAGATATTACGGATACATACTACAGACAATTTAGCTTACCCTATTCACCTATAGCGCATGTCTTTGGACTTGTGGGGGAAACCGGAGCACCCAGAGGAGACCCACGCAAACACGGGGAGAACATGCAAACTCCACACAAATGCCAACTAAGCAAGCTGAGGCTTGAACCAGCAACCATTTTGCTGTGAGGAGATCGTGCTATCCACTGCATCACCGTGACGCCCTGTTTTTTTCTTAACTGATTTAATTGTCTCATTATTTCTCAGTATATTTATAATTTACCACTCAAATATCTACTTTTTAATAACTAAATAGCCTTTAATGTAGCTGTTAAGCATTTAAAGGACCCAAAATGGGTTTCAGTTGTTTCTGGGTTTCAACTAAGAATACCAAGAGCAGTTTATGAGCACTGCTTATTCATATTTAAACAAAGATTGCATGGGGTCTTGTACACCAATATTTGCACCTGAGATTTCATTATGGAGATAAAGGTTAAGTAATTTTTGCTAATATTATTTGTTATTGATTCCTTATTGAGCATTGAGAGAAGTATATAGAGCATTTAGAGAAATTATAGAAATAACAGTATTTTAACATCTGAGATTTCATTATAGAGATAAAGGTAAAGTAGTTTTTGAAAGTATTATTTGCTAATGTTTTTTATAGAACATTTATAAAAAAATATATAGAGATTTTTTTTACAAAGATAGCATCATTTTTTCAATAATAATATTTGGTAATCATTTCTTATAGAGCATTTGAACCTGGAAACCATGATAACAGTAGAATGTAACACAATCAGTCATAGTAAAAGCTTGTATCCTCTAAGGTAAAGTGTGCAATGAAGGTGTCTTCACGCCATGCTGAAATTACCGTAATTATAAGATTCCAGCAAGTAAAAAGCTTCCACGTCCTAGCAGAGCTCATAATTACAATTTACAAACCGGGAATTTACAATCCTCCGACTTGTGACCTTTGCAGGCTGATTTAGGTGTTAATAACATTGCTAAAGAAATGCATAATCTTGAATCCAAAAATGTGCACACCTCTGAAGAGAAAGTCAAATCTTGTCATGTTTGAAATTATGATAATTACGGTAAGTCAATAAATGCAGTGTTTGTGTCTGTGCCATTAGCAGCATTAGTGTTCAGTTCAAGTTTATTTGTATAGCGCTTTTCACAATAATTGCTTTAAAGCAGTTTTATAAAAGGTGCACATTATAGCATTACAATCAAATTTGGAAAAGTGAAGGTTATTAATTACCATAACTTTATTACTTACAAAACATTTTAACTAATTATTTAGTAACCAATAGCTTTTAACAGTTAAAGATGCTATATGTAAGCTATATGTAATACCATAATATGTTTGCAGATATTTAAGAAACATCAGGGCTCGAAATTAACTTTTTATTTGGTAGCACCGGTGCTCCCAACTTTGAATATTTCAGAGCACCAGAAAAAATTTATGAGCACCCATCAAAAATGAATGCAACAACTATCTAACTAATGCTGTGATGACATAATATTTGTGCAACAATTCAAAAATGAATGTCTAATAATTGTAAGATATTAATGATGACGATGATGTCAATAATACTAACAATGAATTACATTTATCCTTATTATGCTGCCTTGAATATGCTTGACTGTGAGTTATCTGCTATAAATTCTGCTATAATAGTCTGTTACTTTATGATAAATAAATTTATGGTTTGCATCAAACACAAACAAAGCATTGCAGTAAGAAATATTTATTTTGTACTATTGCTTTAATATGCATGTCAATTTAATAAATAATATTTCTGCTACTAAACAAACTTAAGATTATACTAAATCATTCAATTCAAGGCTGAAAGTCGCAAAACAGTCATCAGTAACTAAATAGAAAAATAATATTCATTTCAAGAAAAAGCGGACAAAAGAAAGGAAGAAAAGTCTCACTTTAAAAAGTTTTGGTTTCAGTTTGTGTCATTTTAATGCTCAGTCTCGTTATGCGCTGATTTTCATTTTTCTGTGTTTGTGGAAAGCAGATAAGTCAGTCGACCCAATATATGAGCAGGCAGAGCAGGATTCTCCCAATGACTGGCGCAATACCGTTTTTTGTTACAAGCAGCATCAGTTTAAAATTAGTAAAGGCGAGCTTCTTTGGCGATGGTGTTTACAGTGTTAGATTTTACATTTAGTGGACATTTGTGCAGAACGTGAGATTCTGTGTACTTTTCACTCCTTAGCCATTTGCATTACCTGCGGTCACAAAAGCTCCCTGTCATCTGACAGCGGAAAGCCTTGAGTGATTGACAGCTAATATGAACCAATATAGCGGCAGGGAAGAGCGATTCAGCATATTTTTAGAAGAAAAGTAACTATTATATGCTCCCAAATACATTATGAGGTCGCAGAGCTAAAATTTCGGTCGCAATTTTAAGCCCTGAACATGCTAAATGAACCTATGTGCTTACCTGAAAAACAATGCTAAGGTCAGATATTCTACTTTCAAAATGTGAGTTACGTGCGGGAACATCTGTCTTTGTTTTAGTCCCTTTAATCCACCCACTGCCAAATTAGCCAATCATATTTCAGCACCCAAAGTTGCCTTGGTGGAAAACAGCGTTCAGTCAGGAATGCTCTTAAAGTGTTTGTCCGTAAAAATGAAACTCCACAGGTTTTACAAATGTAAACATTAGGTGAGCAGGTTACATTGTAACCCCGTGTCCTAACAACACACTACATGATGAGATTTGCAGTGATAAGCAATTTGGCTGTTTACACCAGTCGAAACACATCAGGAATTTAAATAGAGCCATTCAGAAGCACAAAATAGTGCACTTACTGCACTCCAACAAAATAGTATGATTTATAATATAATTAAAACATAATAAACCTCTTTAACATTATTAAATGTAGATGCTGAATCTGACATCAACACTAATATGTTGGTCTCATCAATCTGGCAACCTGCGCTTGCGTGTGTTTTGAACCAGGCCTGCAAAACCTAGTTCAACCTCTGGGTGTCAAACTAACATACTGCACCTTTGAAGTTATTATACATAAACTAAGGCTGCACAATATATTTCAATCATAATCAAATCTGCACAGGATCTGCAATATCATGTTGTAATTAACAAAACTTGACTTTATCCAATAGGCAGGGCCAGATGGAATCAGTGGATGTTTTTTGCTTTTTCTGCGGAGATTTTTTGTAAAAATCAGCAGATTTCTGCGGAATTATTTTGGGAGTATCCAGCGGAGTATCATAACTAAAACCTTAGTATATGAAATAAAAAGTAATAAATTACTGAATAAAAACAGAATAAATTTTGATTTACACATTTACTCAAGTTAATAAACAGAATTAATGATGGGCTAAAAATCTGCAGAAATCTGCGGCAAATCTGCGTAATTCTGCGCGCGCAGATTCCGTGTGGGCATATCAATAGGCTCATTTTTATGTGTTTTTAAGCCCTGTAAATGTAAGATTTCAAGCAAAGTCAAACCATTTGGGCACAAGACAAAATTATTGTTTAATATTTATACAATAAAGAATATACAGTGGTAATTCATATTTGAATATTGCATTTCTGAACCTCAATGCTGTTAGACTCCATCGGAAACTGATGTTGTTATATTTTGCTTTATTGTTTTCATGTGTGCTTTATTTTATTTGGTATAGTTTTGTATAATTGTGTATATTTTATGCAGATGCACTTCTCTAAAATTAGGAAGACTTTCCAAATAGAGTTACTCATGTCATCTTGTGACATTATATTCAAATCGCAAAATGTATCACAGAAAAAAAATATTGTAATATCAGTTTTTCCAGTATCGTTCAGCCCTAATATAAACATAGTTAAACCTGCAGTTATATCGTATATACTGTAGTTGATGTATATGTGTACATGTTCAATGAAGTGTATTTTTATATATAGTGTCGTCAGGTGATGTGTTTGTACCTTGAAGTGTGAGCTGTTTGGAGAGTTTAGTGGTGATGTCCATGCCGTTCTTCAGCCAGGACAGCTGTGGGTCAGGGATGCCCTCTGCATAGCACCGCAGACTGGCTGTGACGCCCGGCTCACGTGCCTGGCTCTCTGGGTACACTCGGATAACAGGAGGGACTGTCAGAACAACAGAGAAAAAAAGGGTGAATGAACACTTGAACTCCAGAGTTGGTCATTTTTTATTTTCTTTTGTAATTCATTAACTTTGTTGAAATAAAACCGACATCTAAAATAACATTTTCCCCCCCTATATATGTGTATATTTCTTTCTAACATAGTTTTTATTCAAATTACAAAACAGAAAAGAGCTATGAGCATTTCTACCTTTAATAACAGATAAAAAGTTGAAATTATTCACACTCCAGTGATTTTTTTCTTCTTCAAATAATTCTCAAATGATGTTTAACAGAGCAAGGATTTTTATTTTTTTTTTTTTACAATATTTCCTATAACATTTTTTTCTACTGGAGGAAGTCTTATTTGTTTTTTTATGTTAGAATAAAAGCAGTTTTTAATAATAATAATAAAAAATCAAGGTCAATATTATTAGCCCTCTTAAGCAATTTTTTTGATTGTCTACAGAACAAACCACTGTTATAAAAGGACTTGTCTAATTACTCTACCTAACCTAATTAACCCAATTAACCTAGTTAAGCCTTTAAAAGTCAATTTAAGCTGAATACTAGTGTCTTGAAAAAAAAAAAACTTCTTTCTGTTAAACAGAAGAAAAAAAAACCTAATTCTAAGCTAATAATTTAGGAGGGCTAATAATTCTGACTTCAACTGCACCACAGTGGTCAAAATGACCTTATGAATTTCAGTGTCAGCCACTTTTCCCCGTGACTTTGAATATGCGTGCCTCTGTTGCCTAGCAACTTCCTGCTAACATAATCATACATTACCTTCATCAAAACATTACCTTTCTTCAAATATGTCTTTTAAAACAGCATATTGACTGCTGTGAAAAAGCCTTCTTCGCTGCTTGTAAAAGTGAAAATGAAAGTGAGGAATGAACCTTCAAGAGGGGTCTAGTAGCCTAACTAAATATTTATATACTGTATTACCAAAAAGGTGGTATTATTTGTATAATAATGTTATTAAATATGATCAAATACATTCAAAGCTTAATTTTAAAATTTCAATAAAAGCTTTGAATGTAGAATAATTCAACGTCTTATATGAGAATGGCCAGAACTACTAATATACAGGGTTCATATACATCTTTAGTTCTAGAATTCCATGAGTTTTCCATGATTTTTTCAAGACTTTCAAGTCAATTTTCATGACCTAATGTTCCATGCAATGTCTACATATGCATGATAAAAGAAAAACAATGCATGTTAAAATTTATTGCAGCATATGGTAAAACACGCAACAATCAGTTTAGTTTCAATTTGCTTTAGATCAGGGGTCACCAAGACGGTGCCCGTGGGCACCAGGTAGCCCGCCAGGTTCACATGAGTTGCCCGCAGGCCTGTTCTAGAAAATAGCTCACCATAGCACCACATATGAGTAAGCTGCATCTAATATTTTTATAGGTAGTCTTTTTTAATCACACTTGCATTGGTGTAAATTTGAAAATTACTTTAAGTTATATACTAAAAAAACTTTAAAAACTATTTCAGACAAATGAAGTGTTGCATATTGATATTTATCTACCTTGTTAAATCATTGTTGACAACTACTGTGAGAAATCATTAACATGATCAATGTCTTTACAAAGATGAATATTATTAATTATTAATAATAACATATAATTAAAAGTAAATTAAGAAAAATGTGTTATTTATTAACTGGTAGCCCGTCATATTAATCGGTACCCAAGAAGTAGCTCTCAGTTTCCAAAAGGTTGGTGACCCCTGCTTTAGATAATGCGTGAAAGTATGCAATTGGCCAAGGACAGAAAAGAAGTAAATAACCTGCAGTATATTCAAGGTTACAGACAGTTTTCCATGACTTTTCGAAAACTTTTCCAGGCCTGAAAAATGCCACGTCAAAATTCCATGACTTTTCAAGGTTTTCCATGACCGTATGAACCAAATTCCAGTTATTCTAGTAGTAGCATCATGTACTGTATGCTTAGAATCAGTATAAATTGAGTACCCAGTAACAACAGAGACCCTAAATATTACTGAAGAAAAAGTATAAAGACTTCAGTTTTACTCAAGTCAGAGTACAAAACTTGATCTGTGAAGTGCAAAATAAAAATAATTAGTTCGTTCGTTCGTTCGTTCGTTCGTTCGTTCGTTCGTTAATTAATTAATTAATTCATTCATTCATTCGTTCATTCGTTCATTCATTCGCTCATTCATTCATTCATTCGCTCATTCATTCATTCATTCATTCATTCGTTCATTCATTCATTCATTCGTTCATTCATTAATTCAAGAATGTTTTAATGCAATATCCCAAAAGCTCATAAAAATAGATGCAAACATGTATTACTTAGTCAAAAACATAATTAAATATTAAAACAAATGATATTTCAATACAAAAGACAAGCCTAGAACAATAATAAACACATTCCTTTTATTTAACCAGTTGACTTTATTCGTAAGATATGATAGGAAACAGGAGGAAGTGTTTGGACAGCAGTTGCAGGGCATATTTTGAACACGCAAGGGGGTTGATTTAATGAAATGCTGTGCTTCAAGGCACAGGGAGCAAAAACCTGAGCCTTAAGCTCCCAGACTATTTACTGTGGAGTTCAGCTTACGATTGGAAAACAGAAATCATTTAGTGTAAAAATCGCGAGCTCAGGCTCTCATGGTGTTCCAAGATCAGCTCATTGGTAATGAGCAGATTATGATAAACAGTAAAGCGTGTGAAAAACAAAGTCATGCATGAAGGAAACATGGGAAAGCATATCAGCAGATCCACAGTGTAATAGAGTTCTGGAAAGAATAGAAATCAGTTTAAGAGTAAACTCTTAATGACTAAATTGAAGAACTAAAGCATTTGTTGTCATGACTTTTATCATATTAACAGTATATGTACATTTTTCTGAATGTATGTTTTTTGTTATTTATTTAACATTTTTAGTTTTTTTTATTATTTATAGGTCATATTAATATTACAGTAGTAACCGATACAAAAAATACTATACGTGTACATCAATTTACAGGTAAAGTCAACCTCTAAACCTCCAGTTGTCATTCTATAATGCTTTCCCGCACAAAGGATCATTGGTGCCTGAAGTGTCCATTAGCTGTTCCCTTCAGAACCCTTCATTCCGAAGGGCCTTTCAAAGTGGCCAGATTTAAACACTTCGATTTGGAACGGCACTTTAATATGGCAGTCATGATTGTTTTCAATCAGAAGTGCTCTTTAGAGGGCAACACATCCCATTGGAAACACAGCGTCAGTGTTTCAGACAGATTTAGAATTAAGGTGTTGTAATAATGTACAGTATGTGAAATAATAATGTGCTATTTGAACATGTTATTGCATGGCTATCTTGATTCTGATTGGTCAGTTATTATATTCCGAGGTATGTTTTTCCAGATAACAACCACCAAAAATAATAACAATTTTATCTGGGTACTTCAAATGTATGTATGTGTATATATATATTGTGCGTATTTACAGTCACCAGCCACTTTATTAGATACACATTGGTACCATTGGCACAACTGGGCCCAAAGTGTGCCAAGAAAATATCCCCAACATCATTACACCAGCCAAAACCATTGATACAAGCCAGGATAGATCCATGCTTTCATGGTGTTGACATCAAAATCTGACCCCGTCTGAATGTCGCAGCAGAAATCGAGACTCATCAGACCAGGCGACGTTTTTTGCCAAACTACTATTGTCCAACTTTGGTGAGCCAATTCGAATTGCAGCCTTAGTTTCCTGTTCTTAGCTGACAGGAGTGGCACCCGGTGTAGTCTTCTGCTGCTGTAGCCCATCCGCCTCAAGGTTGGACGAGTTGTGCGTTCTGCAGACCTCTGTAGTAACGAGTGGTTACTTGAGTTACTGCCTTTCTATCAGCTGGAACCAGTCTGACCATTCTCCTCTGAAATAAACAAGGCATTTACGCCCACATAACTGCGGCTCACTAGATATTTTCTCTTTTTCGGACCATTCTCCGTAAACCCTAGAGATGGTTGTGCATGAAAATCCCATTAGATCAGCCAGTCTGGCACCAACAACCATGCCATGTTTAAAGTCACTGAAATCACCTTTCTTCCCCATTCTGATGCTTGGTTTGAACTGCAGCAGATCATCTTGACCATGTCTAAATGCCTTAATGCATTAAGTTGCTGCCATAATTAGAAATTTGCATTAACAAGCAGTTGGACAGGTGTACCTAATAAAGTGGCCGGCGAGTGTATTCATGCATGTATGTAGCTTGTGTATGCAGTATATTTACATAGCTCATATTTAACCCTTGTCTAATGTTCAAATTTACTACTCTTGTTAAGTTTGTGGCTGTTTTTGCCTCAGTGACTTTTTATTGTCATTTTTTGATTGCAATACTATAAAAGCATATAGGCAGCATGGTAGCGCAGTGGGTAGCACAATTGCTTCACAGCAGCAAGGTTGCTGGTTCGATCCCTTGCTGGGTAAGTTGGGATTTCTGTGTGGAATTTGCATGTTCTCCCTGTGTTGGCGTGGGTTTCCTCTGGGTGCTTCGCTTTCCCCCACAGACCATAGCTGCATCTCAAATGGCACACTATACACCAGGGGTCACCAACCCTGTTCCTGGAGAGCGACCTTCCTGCACATTTCAGTTGCAACCCTGACCAAACACACCTGTTTGTAATTATCAAGTGCTGCTTTAGGTACTATTAATTGGTTCAGGTGTGTTTGATCAGGGTTGGGACTGAATTCTGCAGGAAGGTAGCTCTCCAGGAACAGGGCTGGTGACCCCTGCTATACACTATGCACTATGTACTTATGCACTTACACACTCAACCGCAAAGTAAATGTATGTAGTGTCGTCCCAAATGGCACACTAATGTTTTTTTACCAAGTGGAAATTCAAACCGTTTCCTTGATGTTATGTCAGTTTACAAATGTAAACATTAGGTGATGGTTGCCAAATCAGTGAAATAAATGACCAAACTATCAAATTATACCTGCCATGAGTATGACTGCATTCACCATCGGGA